CAATGCCGTTAGAAACGGTTTCCCAGTGGAGAAAACAAAGCACGGCTGCCGAGACGAGATCCCTGCTTACCTCGGTAATGAATGTCGAATTCGTCATCGTAACCCCATGTATCAAACGTTAAAACCCGATTAATACTTTCCTTTTTAGATACTTTAAAAATTACTGGCCCGCGCAATTGAAAAAAAAGGGAATCATCCCCCCTCCCCGAACCTTAGCCATAAATCCGCCCTGCATCCAGTTCAGTGTTTCAATCACTTGATGAGCCAACCAACGCATCCCCCAAGCCGTTGGTGCTTGGGATCGCTCGAGGTTGCATTCTCTGCAAAAATGCGCCTCTTTCGAAGGTCTGGCTTCGCTGACTCGTCAGATTCGCCGCATGTCGTAACCCCCGCAAAGCACGGCTCTATCACATTGACCACGACGCTCGTCACGGTCGAATTTCGCGCCTATCTCAATATAGGCGTGAAACTATGCCATCTTTGTCGCCTCAAGCGGCAGAGGCTGCCATATTCAGCACCCATTATAAGCGCCGCATTTGCCCTCTTCTTTTCGATATCACTCGACGGGGACGGTTCATTCTGCACTCTTGAACCGCGCTCATCGTTCGTCTCTGTCAGGCGTGGCTCGTCTAGGGCTCTTGACACAATTCCCCGTGTGACATCGGCCACGCCGCCTTCATGGCGGCTTCTGCTGGGGTTTGCGTTCCGGGTGTCAGACGCTGACGCTTCCGTGGACATGGCCCTTTCCGACTTCGTATTACAAGGAAATTCTTTTTTCAGCGGTCAATCGGACTGCGCACTTCCTTCTGTTTGTTGACATTTAAAGTTCAAAGGGAACGAGCGACAAACAGCAGAGCATATTCAGTTGATGTTTTACGCACGCAGAAAGGAACAAGAGAGCACACAAAACACGACATAGATAGGTCGGAATGTGCTTGGGCGTAATGCTTTTCTTGGAGTTTATTCTTTTTACCAAATTGATCCAAAAATAACGTTTGTAGGCATCGTAGCGAGCCAATTCCAATGATAACTCGCTATTGCCAGGCCTCCGTGACCTTCCCGATTTTCCCCCATTCTCTTCGCGAAGTTTTTAATTCCATTTTCTTTTTTATTATTTAGCGTTTTCCGGCGGTTTCTTTTTATTAGTTGAAATTTTTAGTTGTAGAAAGAGCAAATCAGAACTTTCATAGTTTACACTTACGTAAGGGAACAAAATCTCTTAAAAGGCGAATTCAATTACTCACTTTAAACTGTTTTGAATGCAATCGAAACAAAGAGGGCATTGAAATTTAGCACGAAGTAATACCAAATAAAAAAAAAAAAAAGTTCCTGGAAGCCTTAGATCGGTAAGTGACAATTTTTTAAGATATTTAAATTTTTCAGGGCCAAAACACTTAGGAAAATGTCGGTTCCAACACCGAGAGAAGAATCCGTTGTTCTCGGAGCCGACATTATTGTAGCCGACGTTGTTGGAGCCGAAAACAACTAAAAAAAAAGAAACCTAGGAGGATTCTGTTTGAGTGGTTGTCCTTGTGTAAACCTGTGTATGTGAGTCTTAGTGTCTTCCCCCTCACTAAAGCAGTACACAACAACACTCCTCGAAGACAAGCTACGTATCCTTTGTTGGCAAATCAGTTACGCTTAAGCATGACCCAGTGACCGCAAGGGAGAGGGCTTGCGAGCAAGCGCAGGTGCGGGATACTTGCGGTGGAATCCACCGGAAAGTTTATTTTGCTTTGTCAGCAAACAAATGTTGGTGTTTTCAGCGCTAGCACCATTAAACAGACGTACGGTAAACAAGAAATTTGACTCACTATGTTATCGAATAATTATTAGGATAGTTTTGAAGGGTTGAAAATCAAGATTCCCACACCCGACAATCTTAGGAACTTTCCTACAAAACAAAAAAAAAACGGCGGCTGTACCGACCTAGTTTCACTTATACTTTCCTTCTTTACTAAACTAAGGAAAGTCTGACTAGGCATACATTTAACAATCGGTTTAGCTTAACGCAAGTAGAGGTAGCAGCAAGACAACTATGTGAGATAAAGACACCAAAACATGGATGATGACTCTCGCTTATGATTAACGTTGAGCAGGATAAGCTCGTATCTGTGCGCCAAAATATATAACCTAAAAATGTCCCAATGGCGTCCAATGAGTTCTATACTCTCGCTCTCCATATACCTTTCAAAATTGGGAAACGGAAAAGAAACTTTGTCCCGATTCCAGTTTAATTTTTTATTCCTTCGTCCTAGGCTTTCTCTTTTTTTTTATCTCTTAAAGGTAATTTGAAGTTCATTGCTAATTTCAAAGACGGCCACCATGGAAGCGTTATAAAGCTGTGAAAGAAAAGAGTTAAAATTTTGCTTTTTTTTTTTTTTTACTCGATTTGAATGGAACTGGGGTAGGGTGAGACATATTATCTTTCTCATCCCTTTTATCTTCAAAATTGTAAAACTTTCTAGTGTGCGACTCTGGAATTGGCCCAACATTTTCTAACGGATGCAAACGAAATTGTGATGGTGTCAGTCGATCCTTATTTACTTTTGTTTCTTGAAGCTCACGCATTTGTTTAGCCAATAGAAAGCAAGAATAAGCCGCGGTAAAAAAAAAACAAATTAGAATAATATAAAATCAAGACGCTTTTTTTTGGGGGGGGGGGGGGGGGTGAAGGTACTTTATTTTATACATAAATGTAAGGTGCAAATCACTGAAATAGCTATTTTTAGCGCATTCATTTACGACTGTAAAAATAGACATAATGACTGAAGTTTACTACGTTAAAAGCTGAGTTGAAATATGCAAGCCGTCGAACTCGAAGTTTGCTGCTTAAAAAGGCGTGCTGAAATTTTGAAATAAGAATGCTTTTTTGAAAACTGTTTGGTGAACGCAAGTTCAGTCCGCCTAGGTGTGAGCAGCGTGGTTTTGTGTTTCTGCTGCCTTTGACGCGTTCCTGTACTTGCGTTTTTGAATGCACGTTCATGTATGGCTTTTTGTTTTCGTACACACGTTCGTATAACGCATTCTGCAATGTATAGGTCGCGTTTTTGTTTTTGTTTTGTTTTTCTAGAAAATTTAATTTGGTCCGTCTTATACAACGGATCAATGTGGCGATGCAGGAGAGTTGGTTCATGAGTACAACTGGCAGCAGCGCGCAAGAAACCCCAGGACAAAGGAAGAATTCACAAGACGAGCGCTGAACTTCAACTGGACGCTTAATGAAAAGAACACACCCAAGTAAACAACCACACCGTTATCGCATCAACACTTTAGATAAGCTATTTCTTTTTTTGTATAAATACACCGAAGGCTGGATGACACAATCCTCTTCTTCTATGAAGTTTTGAAGATATTACTATCAAATTTCGAAGATATTACGATTGTGGGGAAAGGGGGTGACAAAACTGCAAAGAACTGCTCGAAGCGTACTTGATTCCTATCAAGTACGCTTCGAGCAGACTTCGGCGTTTTTACACAAAAATAGCTTATCTTGAGCGTTGATGCGATAACGGCCGGTGTGGTTGTTTATTTGAATGTGTTCTTTGCATTAAACGTTCAGTGGAAGTTCCGCGCTCGTCTTGTGAATTCCTCCCTTTGTCCTTCTGTCTTTTGCGCTCCAGTTGTACTGATATACAACGTTGCGACTTTAAGCGTATATGGAGGTTAACTGTGCAAATTGGGGTAGTCGTCACATTTCTCATTCGACTCTTCGACGAAGAACGCTGAAACTGCTTCCCGCGTACTCATAATATGGCGACCAGAACACACATGTGCGAACTTATCAATGCAGTTTCGCCACGAAGATCGTGCACATATATAACAGTGATTTATACGAAGGTGCAACTATACACCGAATTTATTTTTAAACATAATTCTCTGGTAGGAGCGACTTATACAACGGTGTGACTTAAATAGACAGAAAAAAGGCACCTCTGTGTTTCTGCGCATGGATGTGGTAGTGCCCTGATGTATACCTGTACAGGTCCCTATCTTCAAACGCTGCACAGAGGCTATGCCAAACTTTTTTATAACCAGGCAATGTTTCAATCACTCCGTGCTAAAAGGACGAAATAAAAAATGTAATATGTACTCTCTGTACGAGCTGTACCCCAATAGCTCACCATAAACTATTACTTTTTTTTTCGAAATTTCCGAAAGGTATGACGCTCGCTGAAAAGCTTAGGAGTTCAGGGAGAAGCTCAGTTGTCCCGTCTCTAGAGCAAACTTACAACCTTCGACGATGCTCTGGTGTTTCGAGCACGTCACGTCGAGTGGGCGAGCGCAGACAAAGCACGACAGTAGGCACCGAGCTCGTACTAAAGGACCCTGCATTCATAATAGACGTCCCCCCGTTCTCACTCTGTCAGTGACTATAGGTGATACACCGTTCTAGAATTAAAATGGAGATAAATGGAAGTATGCAGCGAGCAAGTCGTCCGCTTCTTGAACATGTGTTGCGTTGATGTCAGAACAATGAAATCTTATTGGCTCATAAAAAAATAATAGTGGGCAGACCTCAAGACATTAAGCATTGAGGTGTACCTACTATCCCTTCAATTGAAACCAATCAGAGGTCGGCGTCGTTCTGACGTCACCGCCACCCCTGCACAAGAAGTAGACGACTTGCTCTACGCATTTGAACGCTTATGGTCTGCTTAAACCTGTTCTTTCACCTGTTTCTACAATTCCTGAGTCCCACTAGGGCGACGAAGAGAAAAGACGAAATCGACAAGCTTTAAAGAAGAGCCTTGTGTGCGCGTGGGTATATTCGCCAGGCTTAAAAATACTCGTGCTTCATTTACCAGCACTGAAAGACTGAAACGCCTGCCAAAAGTACCATCGAGTAAATGCAGCACGTGTTTGAGGCTTGTCGGTGTCGGTTGTTTCTGTTTGTTGGCTTAGTGAGACTTGCGACTAAGAGCTTGGTAACTGCGTTCAAGAAAGGTTTCACCGAGCTGTTCTTTCTTGCGTTTTCCAGGCCCGGGCTCTGGTTCACTGCCGGTGCAGGCAGAAACTATCTTTTGGGAAGCACCTCGCACGGAGCGAAACTTCAGGGAGAGGCTCGGCTCGGGTCTGGTCTCGTCTTCAAGCTCGGGCCTGGTGCCGGGACCAGGACCGGCGGCCCCCCTTCACGGAGGAGGGCCAGCAGCTGGAGGCGCCGTGTCCTGGTCGTCTTCAACCGGCGTGGGTGGCGAGCCCCCGTCGCGGCCCAGCGCCCACTGGGACGACCCCCACTTCAGGCCCCGCTTCGACAACAGCACCGACCGGAACGTGACAGCCCAGTTGGGGAAGTCGGCCTTCCTGCGCTGCAGGATCGCGCAGCTCGGTGACAGAACGGTGAGTTCGCGCCGGAGCTGAGGCTGCTTTGCGTGCTACGCGGAGAGAAAGTGGGGGAAATGAGGTCATGAGAGCCCACGGTTGCGACAGCGCGCCCCTGATTGGAAGGATTATCGGTAGCTTTAACCGGATACAGCAAGAAGAAAAAAAAAGTCAAGACAATTACGTATCCACAGTAAGACTTGGGGGTTTAGATGAAGGCGAGAAAGTTTAGAGATTAAACGAATATGTGGGACACGATCAAATGCCTTAGAAAAGTCTAAAAATATTGCGTCTGTTCCGTTGCGAGATTGAAGGCTGCAATGAAGGTCATGTGTAAATTCAAAAAGTTGCGTCTCAGAAGAGTAACCCTTGCGAAAGCCATGTTGGTGGTGGTGGAAGAAGTCATTGCAATCTAAATGCGATGTCCCGCCCATTACTACAGGACTGGCTTGGCTGCTCGACTGAATGGGCCTCAAGCGTCGTGTAGCCTTTCGCGTTATCCAGTCCGTCTAGGCGGGAAGTCTAACACAGCTTGCTTGTCGTATAAGCAGAAGAGCGGCAGCCTCCGGCATCGTCTGCTATTTCACGGCCGCTTAGCGTCATCTGCAATGCCGTGAGACGGGGAAGCGAAAGCGGCTCGTCCGCGTCCGTTTCCACCTCCGTCCTTCTGGTATCCATCTCCCGTCAAAAATCTTCTTAAATTCTTAGATGACGCGATTATAAAAGAGGCATTCCAGCGTTTTATTGTGCACAAGTCACGATTCAAGACAACCGACTGTCGCCGCCTATCGATGTGCGTGATAAGCGACCTAGAGAACTGAAGAAATCCAGAAAATAAATATGCTGTCTTTCTGGCCTTACTGTTCTTGTTTTTCTTTTTTCTTTCACATGAAATTTAGGCGCAATGTAGATGAGTGTCATGAAGCACAATTAAAAGGTGATGTACATATATTCGCTTTGATATATAGGCCAGGTGCACTGTGGAAAACTTGGAAGCTTGCCTTTTGAGCCGCAATGACGGGGAAAAGCCTAGACAAATTTGATGTGAACCGAACGCCCGATTGCTACCAACCAAATGGCTCGCAAATTCCTATCTGTGTAGGTATCTTCTCGGTATTGAAACCATGGTCGAAATCATGATGGTTGTACAATTCACAGAGCAGCAGGGCCGCTTTTTCGGAAACCAGCAACTTTATTCTGCATCAACATGGGCAACGAAAAGTATCAAGCCAGATCGTTTAAAATAGTTGATCTGGGACGCTAGGCTATGGCGCCTGGTGCGCGTCTTCGAATGGTGTGCTTAGCGTCCTAAGCTTCCCATACATCAAAAGTGGTCCCGATTTGGCAAAAAATGGTGTCACAGAATCCGAAGTGTCATGCCGTACAAATCGTGATCCTGGCGGTTGGTCGCAGAAATGCTAACAACAAGCTGCGAGTAGCACGAGCGAACGCGAGTGTCGCAGTCGTCACAGCGTCCCAACTTCTGGCTTGCGGAACTTCCGCGGACTGCCACACTGGAGTGCGACCTACAGCAGAATAGGCGTCTGCCACATACACTACAGCTGTTGGGACGCCGCCAGAATCACGACTGGTGATAGAATGACACTTCTCTGACGTCATCAGGTGTAAATCGAAGGTCTACTTTTTTGGACGCGGTAAACACACCAGTTGGAGAAGCGTTCCAGGCACCATAGCTTGGCTTAGGCCAGTCCCGCTTCGAGAACAAGCATTTGGGCAGAGCTTCCGAAGGCACGTAGTCGTGACACTTGTTTGCTGCAAACATAGTCGGTTGATGAGGTCTTCTTCTAAACATATCCGGGAACTCAAAACCACCCGCACTCATCCTAATTGACGAGCTCGACGAGCTCGGTCGTTTAGCACTCCGCAGACGCCGGCAGCCATGTTTGTTAACGTTTCAAACCAAAGCGGGTAAAGCGATCTCGGGATATCTTTGAAAACAATAATGACTCTACCTTGATTATTTGCCTCACAAACATAAACAAGCGCCGATTAAATCACTATTGCGGCAAGGAGATACAAATTTACAACCAACCTTTCACACGTCAATCATTTTTACAGCCAATGAAAGATCTAAGCACCTATAGTACGCACGGGGCTGGGATTTACGGACTGCGACCCCCACCTTCTGCACCTTAACGGCGTCTAACGCCGTAAATATTCAGCAGAAATGTGTTTTTATTTTTCCTGGAAACATTATTTTTAAAATTACGCGTCCCAACTCCAAAAGGAAACTTTTTTTTTTTTCAGTTGCACTCTCCCTTTAAAGGCTAGCCATGGCTCTGTCGGTACTGATAGTTCGAACGAATTAGAACACGTTTGAACGCCAGGGGTTATACAAGGAGTAGATGACGCTTTCGTTCACTCTGATTGGAGGGAGACTAGGGGTAGGGACAAAGTCAGCTAGCCTTTGCCTCTTGCCAGAAAATCCATAGTCGTTCTTTTCATACATCACACAAAAGACACTGTGTTCACTGCAGACATGACGATAGAGTTATTTGCGGACACGGCTGAATCATATACCGGGTGTTTTAGCGAAGACATTCAAAAATCCTAAAAATTAAGGCGATTGAAAAAAGAAGAAACTCTCTTCGGGAACAAACTACCAGCCACGGTGGACGTCAGGAATTGCCAAAAACCTACTAAATAGCCAGATAATTAATTAAAACTTGATAATTAACTTTTTAATTAGGGGAAATAGACATATGATTCCAATTAGAAAGTTGCTGAGCGTTATCGAAAACCACTAAATCAGTCATTTTCAGAAAGACTTTAAGCGCTTGAGAAGAGTAGTAGCGCACTAAAATTACCACTCGTGGAGCAGGTACAAGGCTGGGGTTAGATAAGAGGCGGAAAAATCGCGCGGGCGCCTTACCGCAACCGCTAGCCTTGTACCTGCTCCACGAGTGGTAACTTTAGTGCGCTACTACTCGTCTCACGCGCTCAAAGTCTTTCTGAAAATGACTGATTTAGGGGTTTTCGATAACGCTCAGCAATTTTCTAATTGGAACCATATGTCTATTTCGCCTAATTAAAAAATTAATTAACAAGTTTTAATTATCTGGCTAATTAGTAGGTTTTTGGCAATTCCTGACGTCCGCCGTGGCTGGTTGTTTGTTCCCGAAGAGAGCTTCTTTTTTTTTCAATCGCCCTAATTTTTAGGATTTTTGAAAGTCTTCGCAAAAACACCCGGTATATTGAAGGCATAGTTGTATGGCTGGAACATTTTTGCAGGCAGTTTCTGCATGACGAATGCGGCAAGGCTGTCACGTCCTCAACTTTCTTGGACATTTCTTTCTCGGCGCTTCTGTGCTAAATGCACTAGTGAGAATTTCAAATGAACAACTACGAGCATTAGAATGTTTCCCCGGAATAGTTTAGATGACAGTCATGAATATTCATACACTAATATCACGCGAGACAGCGCGCTTAAAACTGAGAGAAAATTGGGTGAAAATAAGGAGTGGGCTCACTTTGGGTAAGCAATCGAGAAAAAGTTGAAAAACTGCTATTTTAATATCGTATGTCTATGTCAAACTTGTTGTCGCGGCGAGGGGCAATGAAGCAAATATGATTGTACTTCCCAGTCAGAACTGTTCGCTTATATCCCCCCATAGCTAACTAGTCGCATTTACGCTAAGGTTATCATCGATACGTACACTACGCTTACTAGGAGTGGGCTATCGTTCAGTGCCTAAACGAAAAGACAAAATCAAGCAAAAAAATAGGTGTGATTGCTTTTCGGTGGTCGGGCATCTCTCGGGATTCTATGGTAAGCAGTAATTAAACTTTTTGTGGCGGAGAAGTTCTCTTCCTCATCTCTACGAAGTTTTTTTAATCGAATGTTATAGGCTGCATTTTCAAAATGTTCAATTCTGCCTTTTTTCCCAGGACATCGTAATGATTTCGAGAACTGTAATTACCTAGGTATCATAGAAGGCAGACCGGTTAGAATTTGTCATTTTCTTGAATGGGATTGCTAGCATCAAAAATGTTAGAACAAAGTCTAATGTAGCGATAGAAGCTTTAGTGAAATTTAGGTTTATTATCGTAAAAGTACCAACTGTTAGAATTGTTTCGTATAAAAGTTAACACGAGGTAAGGAGTAAACAAATCATATGAATAATTAACACCTAAACGTCTAAGAACCAAAGAGGGGTTCACTAGCACAAAATAAAAAAATAAAAAAACTATCCCTTTGATTACTGTCACCCCACAACATTAAGAACAGGTCGAGAAAATAAAATAAACACCAAAGCACAGGACTTTTGGAAAGTCTTAAATCTGTCTTAATACGTAAGAACACGCCATAATAAAAAAAATGACGCCAAATGTCTCCGAAGTCCTTCAGAACGAGTGCCTAAAACGTCACCTGGAGAAATTATATATCAGAGATAATACTGATTAATCTTGAGTTGCACCGTTGTGTGGTGCTCACTACATCCTGCCTTTAATTTTGGTGCTCACTACATCCTGCCTTTAATTTTACAAGCTGGAAACTGTTACAGGCATCGACAGGACCTGCTAAATTTTTTCAAGCGTTGTCCCGTCATCTTCCCCTAACGTGAGCAAGCAGCGACATGTCTGACGATGGCGTCGCATCCGGTGAATTTTGAGAAAACTTAAGAACGGCACGTACCCGCTCTTCAAACGGCGTTTACGATAATCCCTTTTTCTGCTGAATTTCAAAGAGGCGTCAAAAAGTGTTGGGAACCTCGTTTATTTAGAAACGTCCAATTGAAAAAAAAAATTAGCACTTAATGGGATGGAAGGACAGGGTTGCTTATGATTCGCATTGCCCTTTGTTGGTTTCACGCCACAATGCAGGGTACAATCAGCGTGCGCCTAAACCGCCCGTCGCTTCACTCCGATGCCTTCAATATTGAGTCCATAAGCGCCAGATGTGCCGTCCACGTCAGATTTATTACGATGTGGCCCTTCAAGAATTGCAGAACCTGAATCCCAGCTAATTCGTCGTTCGACCGAAGGCGTTTGGCATA